ATACTAAAAGCAAGTTAAAAAGCAAATAATAGATTCAGAGAAAATACTTGTAACTTGTAAAACTAGAATGGAATCTGTGGTTTCTATTCTAATATCCACTTCACCCCATTATGTAGTTACCTTACTTGGCTTACACTGGATTGAATCTAGCCCAACTCCAGAGTTTAAACCAATGAGAATAATCTCATTCTCTCTGCCAAGATCATTGATTCATGTAACCAAGGCTTACAACAACATTGTACAGTATTATCTTGTTGACTGATATTGATTTAGGGATGGATTAGTAGTCTAACATTCAAATCTTCTGTGTAAAATTCTGGAACACAATCTTTTCTTCTGGGGCTTGGCATAGCTACAGGAAGTCCCGGAGTTATAAACATCCCATTAACATATGATTTGCACTTACAAACATAAGTGAAAGGCTCCTTCTTGATAATATGACCGAAGGCAAAAATAAGAAAATGAGCAATTCACAGAAGAAATTAAAATGTCAAATAAATAAAAAATGGTTTAAACAAAAAATGACAATATAAATGCACATTACCTCATTAGTAATATATTTTTATTAGAAAAATCAAAGTGAGGTATTATTTTGGGGTTATCAGATTGGCAAAAATTTTACTTGTTTATTTACATCCAAACCATTGACACAGCAAAAATTTTAAATGTGGTTAATTGGCTCGATGCCTGTAGCTCAGTGGCTAGGGCACCAGCCACATACACGGAAGCTGGCAGGTATGAATCCAGTTTAGGCTTGCCAAACAACAATTACAACTACAACCAAAAAAAAAGTAGGCAGGAGTTGGTGGCAGGTGCCTATAGTCCTAGCTGCTCCGGAGGCTGAGGTAAAAGAATTGCTTACGCCCAAGAGTTTGAGGTTGCTGTGAGCTGTGACGCCACAGCTCTCTACCCAGGGCGACAGCTTGAGACTCTGTCTCAAAAAAATAATAAATAAATAATAAAGTTAATACATAATTCTGGTAAAAACAGATGTAACTAAATAGGTGCTTCCAGATTCTAGCTGATAGAAGTATAAATTGCTAAGGCCTTTTTAGGTTGCCACTTTGTAGTCACCTATCAAAATTTGAATTGTGAATTTTTCTGGGGATGGGGGGAAGGACAGGATCTCTCTGTTACCCAGGATAACCTAGCAAAGTTCTATCATTGTGGCTCATTGCAGCCTCAAACTCCTGAGCTCAAGGGATCCTCCTGCCTCAGCCTCCTGAATAGCTGGAACTACAAGCACATGCCACTATCATTGGCTAATTTTTCATAGAAACAGAAGCTTACTATGTTCTTCAGGCTGGTTGTGAACTCCTAGTCTCAAACAATCCTCCTGCCTTGGCTTCCCAGAGTGTTAGGATTACACACATGAGCCAGTGTGCCTGGCCTGAATTGTGAATTTTTGAGTCCAATACCTTTTATTGGCCTCTAACCTATAGAAATAGTCAAGCATGTACAGCACATACAGGTTTCTAGCTTAGAAAATTAAGATGCTCACTCTAATACTGTTTATATTTGTGGAAAACTGAAACTAATCTAAATCCAAATCATGGTAAAATAATTATCGTACAAATGTACCATGAGAACTGTTTGGAAGTTTTGGAAGAAAAATGCCAAAATTTTATTTGGCAGAAAAATGAAACATGACAATATACATGCAAATCCTGTCCTGGAAAATGTCCACGGTATATTAAATGAGAAAGCAAGTGGCAGAACATACAAATATGTACAGCAAGACCCCATTTTATGACAGAAGAAGACAGAGAGACAGAGAGAGAGAATATAGGAAGTCCATAAAGCTAAGGAAGGGATAAAGAGGGGCTTTGTTTTATATTCTTCTGTTTTCATTAATATTTTTATAATGAACATTTTATTTTTTATGTACTGTATAATTCCAATTTTACTTAAACTATATATACACACAGTCACCCTTTGGTATTCATGGAGGAGGACCCGCTTGGGTCCTGAATGCTCAAGACCCTTATATAACATGGTATATGGTATATGCGTACAACCTATGCACACACATTGGCCTCTATACTTTAAATCATCTCTAGATTACTCATATTAATACAATGTAAATGCTATATAAACAGTTGTTATATTATTTTGTTTAGGGAATAATGATGAGGAAAAAATGTCTGTACACGTTCAATACAGACTAAACCATCCTAGGCCTAACTATCTTTTTTCTTTTTAGAGGGCCATCGCGTCATAGCTCACGGCAACGTCAAACTCTTGGGCTCAACCATTCCTCCTGCCTCAGCTTCCCAAGTAGCTAGAACTTCATTTCAGTCTCAATTTCTCTACCCTTCTTGTTTCCTTTCTTGCAGAATTGTCGATTTGGTGACTCGTGAGGCTCAGACTTATTTCTGAATCCTGGCTCCGTCACAGGACCAAAAAATTTTATCTCTCCGAGTCTACAAATGCAAATAATAACAATAATTTTGGGACCTTGAGAACTAGACGAAAAGATGTTAAAAGTGCCCAGAGGACAGCAGTCTCTCAATGCGACTTCCTTTTGAAAGACCAATCCCTTTATTTCAGGACTGAAACCCATCCTTTCCAGCACAAAACCCATTGTCATGCAATGCAGAACTCTTGACTAGAAGTCAGTAGGCTTAGGCTCGTCCTATTTCTACCACCTGTGGTCACGCGTAAAATCATTCACTTTGATTCACCGGTTTCAATTTCTTCACCAAAAAAGTGATGGAGGTGAATGACCAGATGATCGCCAGATCCTTCTGGATTAGAAAATCTCCTGGAGCACTAGGTCACCAGCGCTGTCTCATCTCCTCCCACACTCGAGCCTCGAAATGTCACTCGACCGAGTCCCACCCTTTCCTACAGAAATCGGCATAAACCCATGGCGCCGTCCTGAATCTCTCTAGCCGCTGAGTTGGCTACAGGCAAAATAGGTCAAACACCAACATATACTCCAACACAGCCCAGCGTTTTAGTCCAACACACACACGCAAACAGTTCCTTAACTTGCGGTGACAAACTCAGACACAGGGGACACCACTGCGGGAAAGGCCAAGCAAAAAGACGAGATCACGCACCGTTTCACCTTAGCTCACGTCCGCACTCGCTCCCACTCTGAGCAAGGTTCAGCCCCAAGCGCCAAGTCTTCTCTAAATCCAGAGCCCGGGCCTGCCTAGCAAGGACCCCTCTCCCCACCCGCGAGCAAAGGAGGCCTCGCGGGCTGCCTGCCTGCCGCCTGACGGAAAACCAGACACTCCGCCCCCTCCTCTGTGGGCCTCGGTCCTCCCGCGGATAACGCGTCCTTTCGGCCTGTTTAGCGGGACCAAAGGTCAGAGTTAAAGGGCCTGCGGCCACTCGGCGTCTGGATTTTAGTCAGGCAGTACGTTGGGCGCCTGGCCAGCCAGCCTGCGGGAAGAGAAGTCCTCCACTTGGCAGCCCTACTAGAAGCGCTTTACACTTTCGTCCTCTCCAGCTCATCATGGTGGCCTCCCGGGCAATTGGCAGCCTCAGCCGCTTCACTGCCTTCAGGATCCTCCGGTCCCGAGGTGAGGCCTGGCCGTAGGGCACCCCACAACGCCGGGCAGAACTCCTGAGCGGACTGGGGTGGCCCTGGAGTCGCGTCCCTCCTAGCTGCAGCCTGCCCACCTGCGCCCCAGGACCCAGCCCTCGGGAGGAATACTGCCCTGGTACCCTGTTTCCTATGTCCTTGTGAGGGGACTGTCACCCTCTCTCACGACTCCGAGGCCTGTGGCGATTTCAGACTCCGTAACCCTTAATGTGTCTGAGTTCTTTACCATCCAGTCGGGCGCCCTTCCTCAGGGCTCTTGCGTCGCACGTCTGGGCTCACGCCCCTCTTATTTTCTTCATTGATGGCCTTGGAATTGTCCCTACCAGATCTAGGAGTTCCTGGAGGATCGGGATCCATCCTGTCGCATCGTTGTGGCTCCACAGCACCTTGCTCTCACTGGAGCTATCTTAAAAGCTTCTTGGATGCAATTAGCAGACTTGCATATCTCTCCTTGCTCCTTTCCTTCAAAGCATTTTTGTACCTAGTACCACATTTCAGTAGGGTGCTTAACTCTTGCAGTTCCTGTAATTCCTTTATGAACGCATGGTGTATTGAATTTCAGTGGTCCTGCAACTTTCTGGAAGACATACGTGTAAAATACATGTATACCTTATTCTTAAGGGATAAAATGTTAGCGCCCTTGGGAGCTATTTGTAATCTTGTTTCTGACAATTTCCAAGCAGCCTGTATTAGCTATCTTATTTTTTTCCTTTCAAACTGGCAGTGAAAGAGTTAAAGTGGGTGGTTTTCGAAATTGCAGCATTTTCCTCTCATCCCGAATCTGTAAGGTCAAATGTGACTAACTTTTTATTGCATGTCGTGCTTAATTTCGGTTAATTAGAAACTTTTAATTTAAATTGTTATATAAATTACTTCCCTTTCCTCCTCCCCAACCAATAGGATAGTATCCTTTTTTTTTTTAGACTATTAGCTAATTCTCCCTTTATTGTATGGTGATGAATTGAATGATTGAATTTTTTTCTGCTTTCTTTTTTCAAATGGGATCGTTGCATGTGCAGTAATTACGACGTGTAATATATACCACATTATAGAAAATTGAAACATGAAGATTTAGGAAAGGGATTAAGGGAAACAAAGTACTCATTCTTACTACTCATATGTCTACTTTTAGCCTTTGGTTGTGTTTACTTACAGTTTCTTTTTGCTCCCTATTTTCCACATTTGTGTTTTAACACTTTTGAAAAGTCAAATGTATATTTTTTCTTCTTCATAGAGATGAGGTCTCACTATGTTGCCCAGGCTGTTCTTGAACTCCCGCTTTTATCTCCCAAAGTACTGTGATTACAGACTGAGCCACTGTGCCTGGCCTCAAATGTATATTTTTGAATATGGCCCTTGTGGATTGGCAGCTGCTGTAACTCTGAGGTAGTAGTCAGGTCAGGTGGTTTGTAGTCACTACCAGCTGTGTCTCCTATTCTAAATGGACTTTATTTTCCTCATCTATAAAGTGAATGAATGAAACTATGGATTTTTCTTTGACATGCGAAGTAGCATAACAGAACTTAAAGTTTGGAGTCTGACTTCTGTATTTGAATCTGACTTTTTCTTCTTTCACCCTCTGGCAATTAGTTTCTGAGTCTGTTTTCTCCTTTGTAAAATGGAAAATAATACTACCTTATGAGATCTAAAGGAGTTACTTTAGGTATCAAGCAGTTTTTCATGGAGTCAGTACTCAGCAAATGTTATCTATTATTAACTTTCCAGCCCTGAAGAACTGTGAATGTTTATGTCTAAGAATTTTCAAACTAATTTTTATATTTTACATATGTAATAAAAAACTACCAGCTTGATTTTTCTATTTTGTGTGTAGAAATATATATACACATGTAAATATGCATTTTGGATTGTGTTTTCCCCAATTAAGTAAATATGACTCATTTTAGCTACTAACCCTTTTAACAGCAATTTATAAATTTTGGGAAAATGTGAATTTAAAATTACCTGCACACCCATATTATCATTAGATTCAACAAATCAGTCTTTCACCCTGAAAGTCTGTGCCAAGGCTTTGCCACACATTTAATAAGATCATGACATTTGCTGCTGCATGGTTAAATTCTTTTGAAATTGACTTGTAATTCTTGATGCTCTGGAAGTGCTATGACTCTGAATGTGACTACTAATGAAAATCACATCTTAACCAAAATATCTTGTCTAATTCCCCCTCCTATTCTAAATCTAAATTCCCAATTATGTAAGTGGTAAAATAATTTCATAGGAAATGAATTAGAGGCAAATTTTCATTAGTAGATGGTGTGTTTTTTAATTTGACGCTCACATCCTTAGTCCCATCCTTTCCCCTAGGACTGAATTTTAAGAAAACAACCAAAATAATATTTTCAAATTTGAAATTTGTTTCAATGTACTCCAGCTCTCTGCTGACTTTAGTCTGATGAGGTCTTGTAGGTATTTTCTTGAGTTACATCACAACGATGATTAAAAAGTAGGTCAAAGGTTTCTTTCTTGCAGGCACAGTAGATATAGGCTAAAGTTCACACAGCTGTTGTAGAGTAAGAGATGCTGTTAGTCAGCGGGCAAGGCTAGATTCCAAAAGCAAAGCAGCCTTGTGCTCCAATTTGTTTTACTTGACTATAGTTTGGAATTCTTTTCTAAATATGTTTGTGTATTTACTGATTTTCTCTTTGCTTTTTGTGTCTATTAATAGATTCAGGGGTTTTGTGTTTGGGTGTATGACAGCACAGATAGCTTAGTGGGTGAGAGTTAAAATAGTTTTAAACTATAGGCTAATGTGCACCAACCTGGTTTTATCTTTACAATTGCAACCCATACTTGCTCCATTATCTTTTTCTTCTTGAGGACTTATCCCCTAACACTTTTTTTTTTATTTGAGACAGAGTTTTACTTGGTCTTCCTCAGTAGAGTGCTGTGGCATCATAGCTCACAGCAACCTCAAACTCCAGGGCTTTTTTTTTTTTTTTTTTTGAGACAGAGTCTCAAGCTATCCCCCTAGGTAGAGTACTGTGGCATCACAGCTCACAACAACCTCCAACTCCTGGGCTCAAGCAAGTCTCCTGCCTCAGCCTCCCAAGTAGCTGGGAATACAGGCGCCCGCCACAACATCTGGCTATTTTTTTGGTTGCAGCGTCATTGTTGTTTGGCGGCCCAGGCTGGATTCGAACCCGCCACCTTAGGTGTACGTGGCTGGTGCCTTAGCCACTTGAGCCACAGGCACCAAGCTTGAACTCCAGGGCTTCACTGATTCTCTTGCCTCAGCTTCCCAAGTGGCTGGGACTACAGGCACCCACCACAATGCCCAGCTAGTTTTAGAGACAAAGTCTCCCTCTGGCTCAGCCTGCTCTTGAACCTGTGAAGTCAGGCAGTCCACCTGCCTCGGCCTCCCAAGTGCTGGGATTACAGGCATGAGCCACTGCACCCAGCCCTAACATGCTAATTGACATATTTATGTTTCTTGGTCTTCTGCTTTTCCACCTTATCCCTCATTCCTAGTCAGTCCCTTTCCACTCTAATCTACTTTACCCTATTCTAGCTAGAATTCCCTATCCCCTTGCCTCCCTTCCCTCTGGAATTTCTACTTTACAAGCAAATTCCTTTCTTATGCCAGATCTATTTTCACTTCTTCATTTATATCCATTGAATAGAAACTTATTCTTCCCAGGTATCATGTTCTCTGCTGCCCTGCAATATAAGCTCCATCAAGAGAGGGATCTTTGTCTTTTTTGTTCACCCCAAGGGCCTAGATATATTCCAAGAGCCTAGAACAGTGCATGGCATGTGGTGGGTCATGATAGTTTTTTTGTTGAATAAATGACTCTGAAATGATGTTGGAATAGATTACAATATGGTTGGTGAAAACTTTTAATACAGATGCAACAATTAGAAAGCAAACCGTAAATAATAAAGATAAAGGCAGGAGAGGATTGTTGGGTAGATACAATCTGAAGATGAGGTTTTGTGGAAAAGATTACAGTCCTGATGCATAGATAAAGGAGGAGTGGTGGTGAATCAAACATCAACGATGGATAAACAAACAAGAAAAGTAAATCCTTAGTGAAGTAGAAGCACTGGGAATTGAGGAGATTAGGCTTCTCCTATCTTAAATCACTGGAATTCACTAAGGTTTGTTCAGGGTCACATAATTAATAAAACTAATGGTTGATCATTGGTCTTTGTACTAAAAGGGTTGGCTTAGATTGCTTAAAGAAGAAATGTAGACAAAGCCTGAAATTACCTCACTCTGCTTATGGTGTTATCTGCAAAGTTTTCTTTCCCTTTTTTAGTATATTGCCTTGCCTTTTAGACAAATATAAAGTTGCTATTTTCTGTGTCTTTTTTTCCTTTCCTTTAAAGAACTGCAGAATACAGAGAAAAGATTAATGAAGCAAGAGCCTAGGCTGACTATTAATAATCCTCCCCTGTGCTGGGCACAGAGGCTCCGACTGGTAATCCTAGCACTTTGGAAGGCTGAAGCAGCTGGATTCCTAGAGCTCAGGAGCTCAAGACCAGCCTGAGCAAGAGTGAGATCCTGTCTCTACTAAAAATAGAAAAAACTAGCTGAGCGTTGTGGGGGACACCTGTAGTTCCAGCTACTCAGGAGGCTGAGGCAGGAGGATCACTGGATCCCAGAGTTTGTGCTAGGCTGTGAGCTAGGCTGATGTCACAGCCCACTATCCCAGGCAGCAGAGTGAGACTCTTGTCTCAAAAAAAAAAAAATAATAATAATAATAATAATAATCTTCCCCTATTCCACCCCATCATCTTTAGGTTCTCTAAGTCACTGGTTCCCACATACCCATTTGTTCTCTGAATGCTTCAGAATCACCTTTTAAAAAATATAATTCTAGGGCCTAACCCTCTAAATCTGATTTTCTGGTCCTAGATTGGGGCCTAGGAATTTGTGAGTATATTTGGAGCTCCCCAGTTGATTCTAATGCTAGTACTGGTGTGGGAATCCTAGTCCAGCTGGGTATATTGGATAGTCTCTTGAGTTCTACTTTGGCTGTTAAGAATTGTGGCCAGCTCCCAAAGAGTCCCTGCTGATGATCAAACATAGGCCATTTTCAGCTTGAAAGTGGTTATGACTGTAAGGTTTGTTTCTAAATCATGTAGGAAGTGTTTTTGGTAGAGTTGATATTTAAAATAGCATTTAGATACCCTCATATTAATCTGAAATATATATGGCTCGGCACCTGTGGCTCAAACAGCTAAGGCGCCAGCCACATACACCTAAGGTGGCAGGTTCGAATCCAGCCCAGGCCCGCCAAACAACAATGATGGCTGCAACCAAAAAATAGCCGGGCA